ATCTGGGAAGCGGGGCATCTGAGGGAGGACTTTGTTGATATGAGCCGGGTAATTATTTGCTGAACGACTCTTGCCGGCTTAGCCTGTTGGTCGCAGCACGTTTAACCGATTAGTTGTCCTTTTGTTTCTTGTCGCTTTTTGTTGATTCCATTAGGACCGAGTGCGGCAACCGCCGTCGACGAGGCCTGATCACGCCAAAAAACCAAATTTCCAAAACCAATTAACCAATGCCTTTCCAAACCAACTTTTCATGCAGCGATGTCTGTAAAGCCGGCTGCAGCAAAGCATCAACCTGCAAACAAGTCCTGATGCAGACAGCTTTTCCACGGAGATGCAAGACAAGCGTGTCCTTTTCGACGCCGCCAATCGCTTGAGTGGGTCTCACCTGTGTTGCCACTGCTTGCCCGTTTTGCAGCCTCTGGGTTTTCAAATTTGGGGCTGCCAGCAGACCCATTTTCGGGGCTGCAAATCTGAGCTTGACGCGGCTTTACGCCTGCCCCAACCTTGGAAGCATTGCGCAGTGCGCAAATATCTGGGGCTCCTGAAGCTCTGCCTCGCCTCTATCATGCCGTGCCAGGTGGAACTACAACTGTACACCCAGAACAGGGATCGCTTTGCCCGAAGCTTGTGCAGCGTGTTTCGTTCTGAGCGCTCCTGTCATTTTGCCTAAATGCCACATCTTGCCAGAGTGGTTGGGACAGAACACCCAATGCACCATTCCCCTGTTGTGTTTGCAATTGTCACTACTGCTGCTGATGGTGCCGTGCTATTGTTGCTGCTGGTACTGCTATGGACGGGCAACAAAAAACTATGTCAGTTCTGTCAAGCAGTCTCAATGTTCTTGGGGTTTATCAATGTTGCAAAAAAGTTTTCAAGTTTTTACGAAATCTTAAGGTTTTCACAATGGTTTTTCAGGATTCGTTAATTCGTTGTTTTTCGATAGGAACTCTTCAGCATATTAAAAATTACACAGTTTTTTTAAAGAAGTGTTGTTGTTGGTTTCTTGAAAGTTTTTTGGACGGGTTTTCAGGGTTCTGGTTACTAGGAGTTTAAAGAATGTTTACGATTATTTCGAATAGTTCTCATTTAAAGAACTTTTACGGTGTTAAGGACCGTTGGCCATCACTTCGTTCCGTCTTCTATGCAAGCATCTGTCATTCCACATGTGTTTAGGTGAGATCCGGGGATAGTGCATCCACAACATTGACATGGGTTTGGAGTCAGTGGGAAAACTTCGCATCGCTGGCTTACAACTTCACGCTTCTTCGGCTTTTGACTCTGAGCATCAGCATGGCATGTGCTTTTGCCTGCAGGTACTTCAGCATCATGTCTCGCCCAAGTTAGACTTTCATGCAGCATGCAGCAAACGTCCACGAAACAAGTGCACATCTGTGGCCTGTCGAAGATTCTCCGTCGCAACGCAGACGAACACCTCATGCCGGCTTCTGAGTCGACTGCCAACCATCCTTCTTTGTCAGTGAACATTTACGCTGCGCAGTTCAGGCATTGCATCGTGGTCAATTTTGTTGTACATGTTCAAGCTGCGTTGGAAATTCGCCGGCAGTTCATTTTCAGTGGCTTGCTTGTTTTCGCTTGCAACCCATGCAGCGACTGCTGTTGGAGACAGACATGGAGCAGCATCAGGATCAGTCTTGACAGCCGAGTGGAAACGCCTTGAGCTCCGAAGCTAACCTACTCATGCACATGCATATTCACCCAGTGCGGTGTCCATCAATCGTGGTTCAGCCGTTCTTAAGTCCGCGATGGCTTCAAACCGCACATCACTTTAATTCGTCATTCAACCACAAGTTTCCGAACCCACCTTTGAAACTTCATGAGGCGGGACGTGCATATACCGCATGGTGCTGTTGACATGGAATGGCCAGGTATTCATCATCCTCAAACGACATAAATGGATTCGATGCATCATCGTAGGATAAGATATGTCAATCATTGCACAGTTGTTTAGTTGTAACGAACCCACAAGTGCCAGCCCTGTAGGCTACAAAGTCTTGGACAGCTTGCAAAGTCGTGGATATCTGATCAGAGACCTGTGCTCATTGTGAAAGAAAGGCCTCCGAAGCGCAGAGCAGCAGTTGCCGAGGCGACGAGGGTGTTGAGCTCCAGATGCCGGCTATTGAGTTTTAGCTCGTGGCACCATGCACCGGCGGTAGTTTCGGCAAAGCCAGACATGCAGTTTTGGTTTTTGTACGCGACGAACACAGCAGACTTTGGAATCCCTTCAAGATGCCGCCTTGACGTGATGTGTTGACGGCAATGCCAAACGCATGCTTCTCTGGGTCCAAAGCTAAGCCGGCGGGGAAAGGTGTCTCACTTTCGTAGTCAGGCTGTGGAAGGTGGCTATCCTACTCTATGCTACTTCAGCGCATCAGGCGTCGCCACAGCCACCAGTCTGGATGATCAAGGAGGCGGTTGCAAGCAGGAGTAGAGCCTCGAATTTATCCGATCAGAATTTGGGCATGTCGGTCGGAGGTCTTTAAATGCTCTGACAATGTCTTGTCTCTTCATGGGGCTGTTTCTGTTCCAGGAAATTTGGACCATGCAAGCGGGCCCGCAGAGTAAATGTGCAGTTAGGGTGTCTTTTGACAAAGAACCGTCGCGATTCTCAGGCAGCTCGCGCAGCACAAAAGTCCGTGGAGGAGCCTCTGTGCATCGGGCGGGCAGATTATTGAACATTTTGCAGCTGGATTTTGTCGCTAGAGGCTTCGGTCGCACGTGTCTGAACCCGGCAGGTCGCGAGTGTGACAAGGTGACTTTATTGCATTTCGAGCTCGCAGTCATCCTGTCTCGTCATGCTGCATATCTACCCGGTTGTTGTGATGCCCTTGCAGCTTCATGCGGCGTGTTCAGGGCTTTTGATGTCCGAGCAGTTTTCGTTCGTTTCGATGGCAGATGTGGTTGGCTTGATTTTAAGGGCATCTTGCAGATGTAGCCTGTTGCGCCAGGAGCTTGCGAGAGTCCGACACAGCCAGCGACCCAGATTCTGGCGAATGATTCGGGACAGCCGTAGTGTGCCGTCGTCTCAATTTCCAACTCCTCAGTGCACTCTAGCCAGACCGTCACGGATTGAAGCAGCTTGCTTCGACGAGAGTCCGACCCAAAGGAACCCTAAGGCTCGCACAGAGTCGTAGACCCCAGTTTGGACCGACCAAGCAGTGCTTTTTCACCAGCCAGCTCAGGGCTGGCTTTAGAAGGTCTAGAGTTTAGGGTTTAAGCGCCAGAAGGAGTCATCAAGTCTTGCAGAGTTTCAAGGCTTGCAGGCTTTAGTTGGTGAGGTTTAGGGCACTGCTACAGGCGAGGTCAAGGCTTTAAGCTGAAGGGTGTAAGGAGAAAGGCATTTGTGTGCACGTGTCGAATCTCTTTGACCGACGGCACAGGTTCCTCTTAGCACGAGTGAAGATGCTCTGGGTTCCAGGTTCGGATGCACTCAGAGCAAGCGTTGAGGTCATTACGTCATTATGTCTATGGTGCGACATGACACCGAAGAGCAATGAACCGGTACACTGGTACACTTCCAAAGTCTGGTTGTCGAGGCCCGCGTCCTTGCGCAGCCCCTTCGGTGGGATCCGCCGAAAGCTCTTGTTTCGATGTTTGTTGTGATGCAGGCTGTGCTACTGGTGACTGAGTTTTCTGTTACGAGGTCTAGATCAAGTTTGGGGCACATCCTCAGAGTCAAACAGGAGTTGCCAGATGGATTGATACACGGGTATGCAGGTAGACAGATCCATGGAGCTCTTGGTTTTGATCCCGAATCCTCCGCATCTGAGAACTTGCTTCGGTTCCCCGAGACTGTCCGGATCGTACTTGCAATCCCTGAGGCCTTCAAGGTGGAAAGGAAACCCGGCATTGGATAAGAGTTGCTCGGTCTTGGTCAGTTCGAGGCTCTGGAGGATGGTCTGGTTTCCTCGTCTTGAGAGCGCTCTGCAGCTTTCGGCTGAGCCAGGCACTTTTAGGAGGCCATCTACACGATGACTCAGTGGTGCGCTTTTGTTTAAGTCTGTGCCAGCTGTGTTTGAGGACCTGCTTCCAGACGAAGCTTCCCTGACAGCCCGGACCCGTTAACCTGAAAGCCCAAGCCTGAATTGGTTTCAGTCCTGGTCCTGGTAGGTTTGGTGTGGTTTGGGGCCTAGACAAGGAGCACACAAGACCATCTGAGCCAAAGAGTAGTAGAGTCTTCCGTCCCCCTGAGCCACGCTGGGCTGCGTCGGGTCCTCAGGCTGCTCAGGGGGTTTTTGGGGTCTCGGGATGCGAAAATAGGAAAATAGGTCCGCAACTTCCACTGCCAGGCCATGGCTCAGACGTCGCGAGCTCAGAGAGACTTCTCGGTAAGTCCCACGCACTACGCACTGTGTGTTTCCAGTCCGACTGCCCTCCGGTTGACGGGCAGACTGCATGTGTCGAAGGCTGAATGGGGTGGTGAAGTCTTGGGATGAAACCGAAGGAGTGGGCCTTGCGCTCAGTTGCCGGTCACTTCCGCTCGGTTCTCTGTGCGCCTTAAACAGTAGCCTTGTACCGAGCCTTGGAGGCCTACCATTTTATGCCTAGGCCTAGGCTGTCCTAGGCTTTGGTAGAGATGCACGAATCCACGGCTGCAAGTACAACTTGATGCCACTCGGTCAGCTTGCAGATCAGGAAGTCGCAGGAACTGGGAATGTAGGATGATGGCTTGCAGCTCCGTGAATCTGAAGAGCCTGAGGTCTGGTAAAACCGGACGGCGTGCAGGCCTGACGAGAATGCCAAAAGATGCATGACGAGAGCGTTCTTGAAGGTTTGCGCCTGGCGTGTGTACTGCAGCCAACCGGATCTGACGAATCTTCGAGTGTATTCCGAGCTCCGGGAATTTTGGCCCGGAAGGGGTGCAGCCCGAAAAGAAGCTCCGAACTTGAACTGAGCGACAACCTGTCTTTCGACATGCCGTTTGCATTCATCTTCTCATCAACCGGTATCAGCAGCCTACACTCCATCCAATCCTGGACTGCTGCCCCTTTCAAAGCCCATCTGTCATGCATGGTGTGGCAAGGTGATGAGTTTTAGTTGCGAATGAAGTTCATGCAGCTCAAGCACGCGTGTTGCCCCGAAGGGCCCGTTCTATGAATGCAGCAGTTTTGAGTAGTCTAGCAGAGACCCATTCGGGTTTGTTGACTGATGCGAGACTGTCGCTCTGTGTGTCTGCTGAAGTGCTTTGCGGCATGGCGACAGGATGGTGCCCTGGACATCGTCGTGCGGCGATCAGTGCTTGTCTCAGCTAGGGGCAGCCCAACAGGGCCTCTGATTAAAAGGTGCTTGGCTTCGCACTGGTAGCCCCGAGTGTGCTTGGACAAGATGGTCTCACTGCTGCCATGAAGCACAAGGACTCTCAGGCCACTGCCCAAACATTTCCAGCAGCTCAGCACAACTGCAATTTCACCAAACAGAACCAGCTCCAACGCGGCCGCAAGGGCCGGCGACAACGGAGGAAGCGGAAGAAAAAAAATGGAATTTCTGACATCTTGTGATGGCTCCATGAATACTTTTGCAACGAGGTACTTGGCATACAGCAGATCTCCACAGGCTCCGTCGTGCAGGTGGAGGCAGACGTCTCCCAGGCACCGGGCCCAGATTGCAACTTGACCCAGGCTTGGACTTGGGTCTCAGGAGCAAAACTCGGAGCCCAGGTTGAGGCTTTGATTTTCTGTTGCAGTTTAGCTCGGAGTGAGACCCCGCGGAACGCGGCCCAACATAACGACGAGGACGAATACGGCGGTGATCATTATGATGCACCTGATGATGATGGAAATGGTGATGATATGAGTTGTGATGATGATTGTTCAGTCTGGCCTCGTTATGGTGAATCAGTCGCGAGTCTCGCTTTGACATATTCTGAACATCATGACGATATATGATGACATCTTGCTGCTGCTGTTGTTGCTGCTGGTCATAACGAGCATCCTGATTCACTCGAAGTTATTGTCACACATCCGTCAGAGGCAAATGAATCCGTTCCTTGCCATACCAATTGGCCAAGGGGCACTGGCTTCTCAGGCCCAGCAGAGCTACGAAGCACTCAAGTGCACTGTCGTCAGCATGCCGAACTCTCCACAGGCTGCGGTGACGGTCAGGTTGCACCATGAGATGATGACATGCCATGATCCATGGGTTTCTGTCAGGCTTCAGCGTGCGAAGGAGCGCCCAGTGTGCCCGAGGGCACTGCCAATGCCGTGGGGTGCATGGCAGCCGACGGCCATGCCGGCGATAGCACGCAATCTGCACAGGGTGGATGCATGCCAGCGAACGCCGCCTGTGCCTGCAATGGCTGTGGGGGAGGTTGCACCTGTGCAGGGTGTGGATGCGGTGGATGTGGTGGATGTGACGGATGCGGCTGCGGCGGCTGCGGCGGCTGCGGCGGCTGCTGTGGCGGCTGCTGTGGAGGTTGCTGTGGAGGCTGCGGTTGTGGGGGTTGCGAGGCTTGTGGTGGATGTGGCTGTGGCTGTGGCTGCGGCAATTGTGGCTGCGGCAATTGTGGCTGTGGCAACTGTGGCGGCTGCAACTGCGGATGTTCAGGCTGTGGGGGCTGCGGTTGTGGCTGTGGAGGATGCGGTTGCGGCTGCGGAGGTTGCGGCTGCTGTGGCTGCGGTGGTTGTGGTGGCTGCGGTTGTGGAGGCTGCGGCTGTGGCTGTGGAGGCTGCGGCTATGGGTGCTGCGACGGCGGCTGTGGCTGCGGAGGATGTTGCGGAGGTTGTGGTTGTGGTGGTTGCCCCGGTTGTGGTGGCTGCGGCTGTGGCGGCTGCTGCGGTGGTTGCTGCGGTGGCTGTGGCTGTGGGGGCTGTTGCGGAGGCTGCTGCGGATGTGGGGGCTGTGGTTGTGGGGGATGTGGTGGATGTGGGGGATGTGGTGGATGTGGTTGTGGCTGCTGTGGAGGCTGCTGCCCGAACAACATGGGCTGCGGATGTGCATGTGGCATGCCAAACATGGGCATGGCGGGCATGGGCCGGATTCTTAGTCGGTTTGTCAATTTCGTGCCCCTGCACATGAGCTGTGCAATGTCAGGCCTGCATTATGATTTCCGGATGCGGGCTCTTGATAGCTTGACGTTCGGAGCACAACGTCACAGCGCCTGAAATCATTGAGGTGCTGGTGGGTATGGCAAAGCTGGTGGAAGGCCTGGAGTGCATTTAGAAGCGCCGAGATGTATTCTGCAGGTTTGTTAAGTCCTCCGGCCTTGGGAATGTCGCAGTTTACCTGTTCGGGCTGATTTTTGCCTGTTGCCCTGCTGGTGGTGGCAACCCGTCCCAATCCATCACAGCTGAGGGGAAACGAGCCATCGTGCAACCTCTTCGTGACCGGATTGCCCTCATCTCAGTGCCGAAGCCTTCCTCGCTCCGTCGTGCCCTTTCGGAGCCGAGCCCGAGATTTCCTTAAACCTGAGGCCAATGGAAATCGATGAGGGTCAGCTCCGTGATCTCTTTGCAAACTATGGGATGGCTGGGGCCTCGAGCAGATCCGTGGGAGCTCTCTCCGCTCTGGCCGGGATGTTTTTTGTGTTTTGTTTCGTGCGAGTTTCTGATGATTTCTGTCGAGTGCCTTCTCTTTTGCTCTTACTCTCGTCGGGCCGAGGGTGAGTCTTCTTGTGATGCCTCAGGTCATGCGGTGCAAAGTGCTGCCCCACAACGGCATGCCCGTGCGGCCCTCGGTGGAGGTGGCAACTTTGTCGTTCCAGCCCAAAGGACCTCTCAACAACAATTGCCTTCCTCATCCACTTCTAACGCTCCGCAATTCCTGCACCTGCAAAACTGGCAAGGCAGACCGGGGAGCTAAGTTCCTGAGAGATATGAGCATGTGCGAAAATCCCTTCAACAGGCTAAGCCCGCAACCATACGAGCTCCATACACCGAGGGACCAACCAAAAAGTCATGGCCCCACGTTCGTTCAAGCCGGAGATGCGTGTCATCAAGACGACACTGCCAGAATCAACAACCAGGAGCATGCTAGCTAAGGATCGGGCCGCCCTGGTGGAAATGGGCGACGTCGTCTTCGCCTGAGCTTGCTACTGTTTTGTGCCACCGGAGCAGGTGCATGTTCCTGCCGGCTTGCAAGCGAGCTTGGAACCCGAATTCCCTGAGCAACCGGATCTTGACTGGGAAATTGAGACAGGCGCAGTCCCAGTGGATTGTCAACAATTTGAACGGGTGCGCGCCTTGTGGCTTCCACAGCTTGGCACTTGAGTTTTTCGGTGTGCAATGTAGCCGAATGTAGCCGGCTTGATGCGATCAGCTTCAGGGTGGCAGGGTTTGCTCTTCGAGATTCCGTGCTTATCCAAGCCCAAGGCCTAGAGTCTAGAATGATGTAGTGAACTGCGCTGTCGCGATCAGAAAAGTCTAGATGGATGGAGTGCAATGCCACCCTGTAGCAAAGACCCGAGAGACTGCATTGTCCGCAAACCAGTCCAAAGAGGCAAAGGAGGAGGTTCCTGCAGTTCTGCGTCCTTCCTCGGTATGTCTCAGAAACTTGTTTGGGAGTGAAACCTGTCGGCGAATTCCTGAAGCCAAGCGAGAGAAGCCAGAGGAACACGCCGGCCGGCATGTCGGGCCCCATCAAGATCGGCTACTCGCAGTCGAAGGGCAAGGCAGCACGGCTTCCCAAAGGGGAGAAGACTGTATCATTTCGAGCTGTGGGTCGGACCTTCGGGCCAAGCTGCGAGGACTTCACTTGAAGTTTCTGATTCCGTCAGGGCTGCTGAGGGAAGTCAATCTGAAAATCCCCCAAATTGGCCTGCTCCTGCTTAGATTTTTGTCCTGTGCCCGATACAGGGCAGCCGGCAATCGCCCTACGAGCAGTCTGGCCCCAAGAAAGCAGGGATGCCTTGCCGTTTTTTCCAATGGGATTCGTAGGGACGGCCGAGGCTCTCGCGGTCTTGGAGTTTGGAAGTTGCAACCAAACCCTGACATCCCCAGGCCTGCGCCTGGCAACCTCTCAGGCCCGCTTGGCTCTTCAGGAACTTCCCGGTCTGGGGTCTCACGGGATTTCTGAGAGGATGGTGGTTGCTTGAAGGATCGTGGTGCTTGTTA